GATGTACAATAACCAATAGGCCTAGGATAATGATAGTTGGCCAGTGAAATGCTGGGATAAAGGGCTACCAAGGTTGTTCAAATGAATGACCTTGAAATATATGCAAGGTCACAGGGGTCAAATATGTTTACAACCTTTATTAAACTTTTTCTGAATAACCAAGAGGCTAAGGGAGATAATATTTGGCCATTAACATGCTGGGATGAATAACTACCAAGTTCGTTCAAATGAATGAACCTCGCCTATATTCAAGATCACAGTGGTCAATATATGTTCAAATCTTTAAATGACTTGTTCTGTATAACCAAAAGGTCCAGGGTAATGATAGTTTGCCAAAAGCATGCTGGGTTGGAAGACTATTAACTCTGTTCAACCTAACGTCCCTGTTCGACATTCAAGGTCACAGGTGTCATATGTTAAAATCTTTTAATAGGTTCTTATGAATCAAACACTGATATTCTGCCTGTATCTGTATTTTAGTCCACTTTTAAGATTACAAGTGTGAGACTAATACCAGGTGAGCGATTCAGGCCGATTGGGCCTCTTGCAGTTAAGAAAAGATAATCTTTTAGGTAAATATGACCATGACAATGTTGGGTTATAATTAAGAGGCTTTAATCAAGAATAGTTCGACACATTAGATGTAACGTCATCAGAACAAATTTGAAATATAAACATTCGGGTATAATGTATAAAATGTGGTGCCTTGCTAAGTGAGTGTCACAACAAAGCAAATATAAATGACGTAATACAAAGTACACAATCATCTGCCGTCATCAACAGCAGTGAGGGCTGGTTGCGTTGTTCAACGTTCATTGTACTAGATAGTATTCATATATTTTACTAAAATAAATGAAATGGTATCAGGAATAAAATGAAATCAAGTAACACATGCTATGTATTGTTAGATTAGTAATAAAGTTCCTAGGATAATAGCGGGATTTACACAATTAATATAAGTTAATATCTGATAAGTTACTTGGTATTTGCTGCTGGCACAACTTTCAAGATTAGCTTAATTCCTGGTACGATGTTCACGGGCGTTTTCTAGGTAAGTTTAGATGTATCTGTTTTGTTGGCTTCCGGTTTGCGGTTAACACAGATGACGGAAATGTTAGACTTGATGCCATTACCCGCATGGCAGAATTTGATGTGTCTAATCGTCAAATCTTTCCTCGCGTGAGTTCTATAGCATATAGAACATGAAAATCCTAATGCATTATTGCTTTGCTCAAGTGACCTATTCTGATCGCTTTCAGTCCGTCGTCGTCCATCATCTGTTGTGCGTCATGCGTAAACTTTTTACATTTTCAACTTCTCAAGAATCCGTGGATGGCATTTTTTCAAACTTTCAAAATTGACCAATATTTTAAAAATCTTCTTCTCCAGGCTCAGAGGTACTACAGTAAATTTCAGGACCCCCGAGACATCTGTTCTCCCTTTCGGGAGGGGGTAAAGTTTACTCTAGTTAATAAAGGAAAATAACACTTTGGGTATATTTTGACAATTTTCTGTAGGATGTTATTCTTACTTGGTGAGAATCATCCTTGGAGGAAGATGGTTTTCAAATTGTAAAATTGGGATTCCTACCCCAACCCTAGGGGCAAGGGTGGGCCCCAAAGGGAAATTTAACCAATATTTCAAAAAAAATCTTCTCCAGACTCAGAGGTTCTACAGTCAATTTCAGTGCATGTATAGAAAGATCATCAGGGGCTTTATTTAAACTGTCAATTTCAGGACCCCCAAGCCATCCGTTCTCCCTTGGGGAGGGGGGTAAAGTTTCCTATAGTTTATATAGGGAAATGACACTTTAAGGTATATTTTATCCATTTTCAGCTGAAAATTATTCAAACTTAGTCAGAATTATCATTGGTCGATGAGGGTATTATTACATTGTGAAATTGGAATTCCTGCCCCATCCTCAGGGGCAAGGATGGGGCCCAAAAAGGGAAAATTTAACCAATATTTTAAAATTCTTATCCTTTGATAACATGACAAGTATTACATTACACTTAGATTACATGCTGATTTTTTTTTATCACATCTCAACAATAAAATTGAGCTACCAGTACCTATGATATAACTCAGGTGACCGCTAAGGCTCTTGGGCCTCTTGTTTGTTGTAAAGGTGGCGTTAGTAGTACATATGTTCACTGGTATCACTGATAATCCTTCGGCTTGTTTAGTCCATCAGGTTCTGTAGTTTTAAGGTGTGTAATGATAGCATCCTCTGTTCTTAGGCGTGAATTCAGATTCTTTTTCATGACGGTGAGACCAACGATTATGACGTCATTGACATTATGTTGAGATGAAGTGAAATGGCGGTAAACCAGTTTGAATTGGTTCCTGGACCTGCTGTTGGGGAAATGTTCTTTGAATCTAACTCGGATAGAGTTTGACATTTACCCGACATATTGGATGCTGATTTTCGGCATTGGATCATGCAGATTGCGCTGGTTGTATCAAATTTCATATGGTTTCTGATTTGGACTGTTTGATTGTTTGATTTGCTAGTCATTTCCGTGCAGGTTCTAATAAACGGACATAACCGACAGCGGGTTTTCTGATATGGATGATTTTCAGGAGGCTTGTGTGTAGGGTTGACATCGGCTCTGACAAGAAGATATCTAATACTGATGGCTTGTCTGTATGCTATTGTGATTTTCGTATTGTTCATATGTGCTCCGAGGTGATCAAGAATGCCTATGTGGTCTGATATGATACTTCTGATATGGGGGCGATATGGGTTATATTTGGTGATAAGGGGGACGATTGAAGATTATTATCCGTTTTGGTTTTATTTGGGCGGGATGCTCTGTCCATGTTCCTGGTGATGGTGGTGTCTAGGAGTTCCCGTGGGTAGCCTCGGTTTCGGAAGTGCAGGTACATTGTTTGGCAGTTTCTTTCAAACTCCATTAAAGCAGAACATATATGTCATATTTTCAGACATTGACCGAAGGGAATGTTCTTAATTTGTTGACGCGGGTGGCTTGATCTGTTATGGAGATAAAGATGGGCAACGGTAGGCTTGGTGTACAGTGTAGAGCGCAGGGTAACATCCTCCTCTTCGATGATTGTGGTATCTAAGAAGTTAATCCAGGTGGAACTCACCACGTATGTGAACCTAATTGTGCGATGGTAGTGGTAAAGATTTTCCATGAAGGATTCCAGATCCTCGCGTGAGAAAGTCCATATCATTAACATATCATCAATATACCTTCACCAAACAAGAGGTTTAAGAGGCCGAGTCCCAAGGAAGTCCCCGTATTTTAAACATAATCTTGTTATTATGCTTATGATTTTGAGCTAAGTTTCAATTAAAACATCTCACAAGTACTGTCATGCTGGAGGAATTACTTATATAAGCTAACAAGACATTAATATTGCTTAAACAGGAAGATGTGTTTAATTTCAGCTACAAGTGTCAAAATAGTTCAGATGATAAATTCACCTTCTATTACAAAGAGTTACTGAACAGTGATCTAAAACATCTCCGACAAGTAGCTTAGGCTACACTTAATCCAAGTGTGTTGTGTTCCTGTCATGTTCCATTAGTCCAGATTTCTTGTGTAATGAATTATCACCATGGAGATAACAAATTGTTTGAAACACCTACATTATATTACTGTAACAACACGAGCGGTCACTGCTGCTCAGAGCTTGTTTATCTCATTAGCTTGGCTAATTACTCGTATAAGTGGCTCAGTGGAGACAGCTTTTTATATGCAACATTTACAAGAGGCTCAGAGGGCCTGTATCGCTCACCTGGATATCAAATAAGATCTCAGGGATAGGCCAGACCCTAAGGACAATCCTTGTAGCATATCTGTATTAGATTTTTCAGCAATTGTATGTATGGTTATGGGTGGGGATCTCCACTGTTTCCAAGTTGTGACTCAAAATCTAGGTCCCCAGGGTTGTGGCAAGACACTAGGGTCAATTCGAATATCATGACTGCATTCGTCTCTTTTGCCCAGCAATTGTATATATAGTTTTCGGGTGGGGATCTCAACCATTCCAAAATTATGACCCAGGGGTTAAGTCTGCAAAGGTGGGACAGACCCCGGGGTCAATTCTAATATCATGAATGCATTCCTCTCTTTACGCCAAGCAGTTGTATATATAGTTATGGGGTAGGGATCTTAACCGTTTAAAAGTTATAACCCAAGAATTTGTATAATTTTGAATCCCAACCACCTAGGGATGCTACCAGTCAAATATGGTTGATATCAATTACTTAGTTCCATAGAAGAAGTCGCTCAAACCAATATAGCCAAATTACCTTTTTGGGCCCAGCCCCTACAACCCTTGGGGGTCAGCCCCTCCACCTGTACATTTTTTAATTCCCACCTCCCATTAATGCTTCCAACCAAGTATGATTGATATCCAGTGCATAGTTCTAGAGAAGAAGTTGCTTAAAGCAATATAGCTAAATCATCCTTTTAGGCCCTGTCCCTCAGCCCCACCATTTGTACAATTTTGAATCCCACCGCCTAGGCATGCTTTCAGTCAAATTTAGTTAAATTTCAATTAGTGGTTAAGAAGAAAAAGTTGTTTGAAGAAATTGTTGACGTACAGACGACAGACACGGATGGACAGCAGACACCAGAGTATAGCATTAGCTCATCTTGGTCCTTCAAACCCGATGAGTTAAAAATTACCTGAAGTTTGGAACGACAAAAGGGTAATGGAAATTCATTATGTCAGATCAAAGTCAGGAGATTTCCATGACAAAACAGGAGAAACCAAGAAGACTGGTGACTAGTCCGGTCATATCAGGAAACATCACATGTCTGATTAAGTGTTTCTCTGTATCCAATTGTACAGGAAAGAATGTTTCCATGTTTTGGAACTATGCTGTGGAGGCAAATACCTTAAGAGGTCTAGTAGAATAATGGAAATATATATCTTAGTACGAAAAAACAAAATATATGTCTTTGTACGAAAAAACAAAACACATATCTAAGTACAAAAAAAACAAAATATATATCTTAGTACGAAAAAACAAACTATATATCTTAGTACGAAAAAACACAACTCCTATTTTCAACAAATAATTCCATCAAGTCCTCCATTATACTGTTTATTTACCTTTAAATATACCCGTATAACTAAAAACATTTATCCTGAACTCAATATTGTAGAGTTGTAATTATTGAATAGGCGTTAACTTAAACAAGTACCAAGAACACATCCGTATGTTTCTGAGTATTCTGTGTATTTCCAGCCAACAGTCTCCATAGTCATCAGTCAATCATGCGATGTATGTTTGTGTGGTCGACATGGGATGACAGGTCGTTAAGGTCACTCCACCACTTGTACAAGAACTTGTCCGCGATCAGTTTGAACCAAGGTGTCAGTAGAGTCCCTGTAGTATCTGCTTCCCCTGTATTTAAAACACCAATACTGTATAACACTGTTATAACTATCACCTAAAACAAGTTGTAACAAGGGGGCCTGTATCACTCTCCTGAATATGTTTAAAATAATTGGTATGAAGTAAAGATATATCACTCCATTGTAGGTGCTGTAAGTACATATGAAATTTCAGAAAGATCCATCCAGTACTTGAGATATAGCAAGAACAAATTTCAAACAGAGCCCCACTCCTATGCCCCTAGGGGGGTCATACCCACCGTTTATACAAAATTGGTTCCCCTTCACCAAAGGATGCTTCATACCTAAGGGCCTGTTTCCAGTAATGTTAATTCTTCATAGGAGCCTGCCCCCGTATAATTTCTTATCTAGCTCAACTACTGTTTTTTTCTTTTCCGAAGAATAATTTTACACCTTTCCGACACCCAGATTTCATAATTTATAGATTTGTGACCACAACGGCAAGGGCAATGCACCATAAACAGGAAATTTGAATCAGAGAAGGGGCCGTTTTGGAAACCGGCCCTTTGGACAAAATCCTGTCATTCCTAAAGAAGAAGGAGGATTTTGAAGAATTTGCTATGTTTCCCCTATTGGGCCTCTCCCTTCTGCCCCAAGAGGGCCACACTCGCTGTTTAAACCAAATTGAGTCCCTTTTGCCCAAGGATGCTCCAGACAAAATTAGGATAAAATCCCTTAATCCCTACGGTAGAAGAAGGATTTTAAAGGTTTTACCTCTTTTTCCCCTATAGTGCCCTGCCCCTCTGCCCCCCGGGGGGCCACACCCACCATTTATACAAAATTGAGTCCCCTTAGCCTAAGGATGCTCCAGACCAAATTTAGTCAAAATCTACTTGGCCGTTCAGGACTAGTAGCGTTTTAAAGGAAAAGTTGACGGACAGACGCCAGACGGACGCCGGATGCTGCGGTATGGCATAAGCTCACCATGGTCCTTGTTATTTTTATTTGTGCTTGACCATATGTCAGATGTGTCTTTGACTCAATATATTTTCAAGTGGAAATAAAAGTTAATCTCATTGAAAATTTGGAGCTGAAATCAGACCCAAATATATAGGCAAGAAAACCATTACAATAAAATGATTTATCAATAACGAAATAAAAGAAATAGTTAAGTACTGACCAAAAAGTTTCTGAAGCTCCTCCTTAGAGACATATTTACACAGTTTCACTTCAGCAGGATTTGGACACAGATCCACATCCTTCTGCACCACTAGGATGTAGTCAATCTCGTGTTCTCCCCACACACCGTCTACAGGCACATTTCCCGACTTATAATGGATCCTTGTCAGATAGTTAAACTCTGAAAGGTTGATCTGTGAAAAAAACTTTTAAACATTCAATTCTCTTTCATTTATTGGGTTCCATGTTTTACAGGATTGTTGCCAGGGTTTAAATTTCATGCAAAACCGGTACAAGGTTAATCATTTATCTTAGATATTGTCATGGATCCAAGTCCTTATGACAACCATAACTAGGTTGTGTCTAAGTCTTATTAAGATCTCTGATAAAATACAACTGCGATTCAAAGTTCTATCTTTACCATAATAAAGAAGAGGCCCATGGGCCTTAACGGTCACCTGAGTCCTATAAAGTATTAATTTTTGTTGTTGAAATATGAAGTGGAGATGAGGATGTCAATCATCCCTACCAAAATTTGAGTAAAAAGAGTTAAGTATAACTTTAAGTTAAGTTTGCCAGGACCACAAGTTGATCATTCTTACCAAGTTTCAGTTAAATGGGCCCAGTAGAACTTGACTTTAAGTTTGAAATACTTTTTCAAAATGGTGGCCATTTTGGATTTCTGATCGACCCAAAAAATAACAACACTTTGTCAGGACCATGAGTCGATCATTCCTACCAAGTCTCAGTGAAATTGGCCCAGTATAACTTGACTTTAAGTTAGAAATAGTTTTTTAAAATGGCGGCTGTGACAGCCATGTTTGATTTCTGATTGACCCCAAAAATAACAACACTTTGTCAAGAACATAAAGCTCAGGTGACCTAAAAACCTGGGTATCATACTTGATGCTGTTGAATTCCAAGTTCCTGATGTAAGCGTCTTTGAGCTGATTTCTTCACTCCAAGAGCATCTTTCTCCTCTAACTCTCCGACAGTGTATAGAGGATGGCTGCAGCATGTATTAGTAAAATGATCTGTAAACCAATTTAATGTGTATTTTCTCTAATTTTTTAATGGCCTCAAAATATACAACAGTTTTGTCTTCTACATAAAAACATTGCAGTAAAACCCTGTTGCAATGCCACCTGTTAAACTGCCAAACCCGCATATCGCCATTTATTTACTCAGAACCTAAAGTTAATTATATAATGCACCTGTTGTAACGCCAAACCCGAATACTGCCATCCGTAAACAAATGGTTAAAATCACACTATTTTGACCTCGTTTAATACCGACAATTTGAGTCGAGTACAGGTATGTCCCGATGACAGAAATGTTACATACGTGTGTACATTTTATTGTTACACGTGACTGCCGACTGACCAGGTAATCAGCTGTATGTTTTGGACGCTCAACAACTTGATACGATTAAATTTAAGATTAAGTTCAGTTGGTGTGTGAACACTTGGGTTCAAAAGGGTAAACCCAATATACCACCAAACTCGCTATACTGTCAAAATCGCACAGGACAGAAGGTGGCGGTATAACAAGGTTGATTTGGTGTTGACAAGCACCGGTTTTGGGTATCATAATCATATTGCACCTTGTGTTAATCCTGTTTTACATATTTTATTTGTTCAATTTTTTTTCAGTAAATATCTGGTGTTATCGGGGTTCATTAAAAACCATGTATTTATCTGTTAAGAAGAGGATTGATCATTAGGTCTACCACTCTGTTTTCAGTATACCATACAAATGTGCTGTCATCTGTGCATGTAGTTAGCATAACGCCTGGCAGCTATCTATTTCTTGCAATTTTTAATCAATCATGCAAAAAGGGAGCCTCCTGGTACTTGTACCTGCAGGACTTGTGTCAAGTATGGCCTGACAACGTTTATCATTAGCTTAAACTAGAACTTTTTCCGAAACAAAATAACTTACTTGGAAAGGTGATTTTAGTTCCTGATCTTTGCTGCAATAGAAGCTGGCCTTCAGTATTAAATAGAAAAACACTGAATGCTCTGTGGAGCATACCTGCAGACAGAAATAGAACCAAACAATTACTGTATTGTCAAGACATCTAAAATGTGGGCAAGACATAAGTACTGGTAACAGACATTTTCCCCAAGGGTTTATATACGTATATAGTTAACATAAGTACTGGTAACAGACATTTTACCCAAGGGTTTATATACGTATATAGTTAACATAAGTACTGGTAACAGACATTTTACCCAAGGGTTTATATACGTATATAGTAAACATAAGTACTGGTAACAGACATTTTACCTAAGGGTTTATATACGTATATAGTAAACATAAGTACTGGTAACAGACATTTTACCCAAGGGTTTATATACGTATATAGTAAACATAAGTACTGGTAACAGACATTTTACCCAAGGGTTTATATACGTATATAGTAAACATAAGTACTGGTAACAGACATTTTACCCAAGGGTTTATATACGTATATAGTAAACATAAGTACTGGTAACAGACATTTTACCCAAGGGTTTATATACGTATATAGTAAACATAAGTACTGGTAACAGACATTTTACCCAAGGGTTTATATACGTATATAGTAAACATAAGTACTGGTAACAGACATTTTACCCAAGGGTTTATATACGTATATAGTAAACATAAGTACTGGTAACAGACATTTTACCCAAGGGTTTATATACGTATATAGTAAACATAAGTACTGGTAACAGACATTTTACCCAAGGGTTTATATACGTATATAGTAAACATAAGTACTGGTAACAGACATTTTACCCAAGGGTTTATATACGTATATAGTAAACATAAGTACTGGTAACAGACATTTTACCCAAGGGTTTATATACGTATATAGTAAACATAAGTACTGGTAACAGACATTTTACCCAAGGGTTTATATACGTATATAGTAAACATAAGTACTGGTAACAGACATTTTACCTAAGGGTTTATATACGTATATAGTAAACATAAGTACTGGTAACAGACATTTTACCCAAGGGTTTATATACGTATATAGTAAACATAAGTACTGGTAACAGACATTTTACCCAAGGGTTTATATACGTATATAGTAAACATAAGTACTGGTAACAGACATTTTACCCAAGGGTTTATATACGTATATAGTAAACATAAGTACTGGTAACAGACATTTTACCCAAGGGTTTATATACGTATATAGTAAACATAAGTACTGGTAACAGACATTTTACCCAAGGGTTTATATACGTATATAGTAAACATAAGTACTGGTAACAGACATTTTACCCAAGGGTTTATATACGTATATAGTAAACATAAGTACTGGTAACAGACATTTTACCCAAGGGTTTATATACGTATATAGTAAACATAAGTACTGGTAACAGACATTTTACCCAAGGGTTTATATACGTATATAGTAAACATAAGTACTGGTAACAGACATTTTACCCAAGGGTTTATATACGTATATAGTAAACATAAGTACTGGTAACAGACATTTTACCCAAGGGTTTATATACGTATATAGTAAACATAAGTACTGGTAACAGACATTTTACCCAAGGGTTTATATACGTATATAGTAAACATAAGTACTGGTAACAGACATTTTACCCAAGGGTTTATATACGTATATAGTAAACATAAGTACTGGTAACAGACATTTTACCCAAGGGTTTATATACGTATATAGTAAACATAAGTACTGGTAACAGACATTTTACCCAAGGGTTTATATACGTATATAGTAAACATAAGTACTGGTAACAGACATTTTACCCAAGGGTTTATATACGTATATAGTAAACATAAGTACTGGTAACAGACATTTTACCCAAGGGTTTATATACGTATATAGTAAACATAAGTACTGGTAACAGACATTTTACCCAAGGGTTTATATACGTATATAGTAAACATAAGTACTGGTAACAGACATTTTACCCAAGGGTTTATATACGTATATAGTAAACATAAGTACTGGTAACAGACATTTTACCCAAGGGTTTATATACGTATATAGTAAACATAAGTACTGGTAACAGACATTTTACCCAAGGGTTTATATACGTATATAGTAAACATAAGTACTGGTAACAGACATTTTACCCAAGGGTTTATATACGTATATAGTAAACATAAGTACTGGTAACAGACATTTTACCCAAGGGTTTATATACGTATATAGTAAACATAAGTACTGGTAACAGACATTTTACCCAAGGGTTTATATACGTATATAGTAAACATAAGTACTGGTAACAGACATTTTACCCAAGGGTTTATATACGTATATAGTAAACATAAGTACTGGTAACAGACATTTTACCCAAGGGTTTATATACGTATATAGTAAACATAAGTACTGGTAACAGACATTTTACCTAAGGGTTTATATACGTATATAGTAAACATAAGTACTGGTAACAGACATTTTACCCAAGGGTTTATATACGTATATAGTAAACATAAGTACTGGTAACAGACATTTTACCCAAGGGTTTATATACATATATAAATAACATAAGTACTGGTAACAGACATTTTACCCAAGGGTTTATATACGTATATAGTTAACATAAGTATTGGTAACAATCATTTTACCTAAGGGTTTATATGAGTATCATGGGTTCTTAGGATATTTTGGTTTCAATTTTTGAACATATTTGAGCCCTGTGACCTTGAAAGTAGGTCAAGGTCATTTTAATGAGGAAACTTAATATCCCTACATCCCAGGTACCTACTGGCCAAATATCATGACCCTAGGTCCTCCAGTTCTTCTTCAGAAGATGTTGTTTAAAAGAAAAAATTGACGGACACTGGACGCCGCGAAAGCTAAAAACTTTTCAATTTTAACATATTTGACCCATGTCACCTTAAAACTGGATCAAAGTCATTCACTACAACAAACATTGGTGCACTTCATTTGAGCATGCTACTGGCCATATATCACCCTAAGCCTTTTGGGTATTCAGATGAAGTCATTGTAGGATTTGTGTAACACATTTGACCCCTGTGACCTTAACAATGGGTGAAAGTTTTTCATTTGAATAAAGTTGATAGCCTTTCATCCCAGCATGCTACTGGCCAAAAATCATCACTGAAGGCCATTTGGTTATAATTCATTAATATACATAATAAATAAATACATTTAAACCAGACTCAATAAACACTGGGTTTATCAGGAATTGAAATATTGTTTCAGAGCCAGCATACTTTGTTATATGTTGAATATGTGACGTCCATATGATATGTTGGAGTCCTGTACTTGAACAAACTGACTACTAGCCAAATATCATCACCCAAACCTGCTGGCCATCTTGGATTTTCGATCAGTCCAAATATTTGATATGCATAACCAGAGACCATATGGAACATTTTTGCGAAGTTTGAGAAAGATCCCTCTGGTACTTTCTGAGAAATAGCGCTAACAAGAATAGTTTAATGACGGACCGATGGACGAATCATGGACGAAGGGCGATTTGATCAGGAATAGCACACCATCATCAGATGTTTAACAAGAGGCCCATGGGCCTTAACGGTCACCTGATATATAGGGGGAAACGTGAGACCCCAGGGTCAAGAAATTCACACTTTTGGTAAAGCACCTTAAGACCCTTCCATCTATGAAGAGTATTTGATTCTACCATATCTGGGTCTTGAGAGGAAGATTTTGGAAATTTTAGTCAATTTGACCCTTTTTGGCCCCACCCCCTCAGGCCCCTGGGGGTTGGAGACCAAACCGGCAACTATTTTTGTTGACCTTTGGCCATGGAAGGATTCTGTAAATTTTCATTGAAATTGGTTCAGGGGTTTTGGAGAAAAAGTCGAAAAAGTAAATTGTTTACGGACGCTCGACGGACGACGACGGAAAAAAGCCGATCGCAATAGGTCACTTGAGACTTTGTCTCAGGTGACCTAAAAAGTGTTTAAAAAGTAAAAAAGGTTATAAAGATTTTTATCAATGTATTATTGCTCCAGTGTCCACACCTACTCGAACCAGAAAATGGGATTACATTACAATGTCTAGAGGTTCAGGCACTATTACAGAGATTTTAATCATTACTTCATATACTTTTAATTCCTTTTGCTTATAATAAATAATTGTTCCTTTGGAAATAGTATCACAATACTCTAGCTTTGCTGAGAATGAAATTCCAATTCTTATGAAACATTATATCTACAAGATTAGATGCCTTCCTTTCCTTAGTGCTTCAGTCCTTATGTGTGTGCATTCAAACATATGTGTATGAGTAGGTATGAATGAAATACAGATGTGATGCTTTGGTTAATGTTGATGATGATGACGACAACGATGATTTTTATGTAAGTTATGAGTTATGATGATAATGATGATGTTGAGGGTGATGATTATGTCATTTCATTGTGATTATGATGATGTTGATACGGGACAGACGCCACACAATGGGATAAGCTTCCGGCCTTGAGAGCAAATAATCAATTAATATTTTCAGTAGTTAGTGTATCGCAATACAGCAATACAATTGGATATAATACATAAGAAAGTATTATGATACGATTCCATGAAACCTTTCAGCCATAGCAGACACAATGGTAAAGCATTTAGGCTCACCTTGCAATTGGTCCTTAGGACCAAGTGAGCTAACAAATTCTAGTAATTATAATTTATAAAAAGTTCAAGATAATTTAAGAAATGAGACTTACCTTTGTTAATATTTTTTAAAAAGTGACAATCCTTTTTTGAAGCACATCCTGTAATTTGATCGTCCTTATCAACTAGAATACATTTCTCCCGCATCATTTTAACTTGGATGTGGTCTAGGCCTTTAAGTAATGGATCACTACCAGTGCTGATGGGGACCTCATTCGTAAGAGACCTGTCAATTAAAAATACATATATCTTATGATATGTTCCATGTCATTAAACCAATTAAAAAGCTGTGCATTTTTTTAAACCTTTATTAAACAGGGCTTCCATTTGTACAGACCCCACTGCACACATTTAAGACATCACAATTCCACAAAGAACAAGAGGCCCAGAGGGCCTGTATCACACCTGGATATATATCTAAACAACCATTGCAAAATATAGTCCAAATGAGATCCAAGGGAATATGCCAGACCCCAAGGCCCATCCTTGTAGTATGTCTGTATTAGATTTTTCATACCCAGCACTTTTCTGTATGGTTATGGGGTGGGGATCTCAACTGTTTCCAAGCTGTGACTCAGAAACTGGGTCCCTATGATTGTGGCCAGACCCCAGGATCAATTCTAATATCATGACTACATTCATCCCTTTTTCCCAACAATTGTATATATAGTTTTGGGGTGGGAATCTTAACCGTTTCCAAGTTATGACCCAGGGGTTAAGTCTCCAAGGGAGGTGCCAGACCGCAGGGCCATGGTGCTAGACCCCAGAGCCATCCTGGAAGCAAATGTGCATTCTTCTCTTTACACTCAGTAATTGTATATATGGTTATATGGTGGGGATCTCAACCATTTCCGAGTAATAAAGCTTTTTTGGCCCCACCCCTTAGCCCGGGGGGTCAGCCTCACCATTTGTACAATTTTGAATCCCTGCCTCCCATGAATGCTTCCGACTAAATATGATTGATATCTATGGCAAAGTTCTACAGAAGAAGTCGTTTATAGCAATATTGCCAAATTGACCACTTTTGGCCCCGCCCCTCAGCACCCTGGGGGGTCAGCCCCACCATTTGTACAATTTTGAATCCCCACTACCTAGGGATGCTTCCAGTCAAATATGGTTGATATCCGTCTTTTAGTTCAAGAGAAGAAGTTGCTTAGAGCAATATAGCCAAATAACCCATTTTGGCCCTGCCCCTCAGTCCCCTGGGGATCAGCCCCAGCATTTGTACAATTTTGAATCCCCACCACCTAGGGATGCTTCCAGTCAAGTTCAGTTAAATTCCAATCAGTGGTTAAGAAGAAGAAGAAGTCGTTTGAAGAAATTGTTGACGTACGGACGCCACGGTATGGCAAAAGCTCACCTTGGTCCTTCGGACCCGGTGAGCTAAAAAAGATGCTAGGTAATGACAAAGGTATAGGATATAATGCTAAACGGTAAATATGAAGACCCTTCCATCTCTGAAGAGTATTTCGTTCTGCCATATCTGGGTCTTGTGAAGAAGATTTTTGAAATTTCAGTCAATTCAACCCTTTTTGGACCCACCCATCAGCCCCTGGGGCTCAGTCAGGGCTGATATGCGCATACCATCAAACTGCCATCCAATACTGATAATGCTAACCAAGTTTGAATTAATTCCAATGGAAATTAAACAAATGTTGGTCCAAAATGTGATTTCCCTATATAAACTATAGTAAAGTTTACCCCCTCCCCAGGGTTAAACGTGAGACCCCAGGGTCATGAAATTCACAATTTTGGTAAAGCACCTTAAGACCCTTCCATCTATGAAGAGGATTTGATTCTACCATATCTGGGTCTTGAGAAGAAGATTTTTGAAATTTCAGTCAGTTTGACCCTTTTTGGCCCCACCCATCAGCCCCTGGGGATCAGTAAGGGCTGATTTGTGCATATCATCAAACTGCTATCCAAAACTGATAATGCTAACCAAGTTTGAATTAATTCCAATGGAAAATAAATATATGTTTGTCCAAAATGTGATTTCCCTATATAAACTGTACTAAGGTTTACTCCCTCCCCAGGGAGAAACGTGAGACCCCAGGGTCATGAAATTCACAATTTTGGTAAAGCACCTTAAGACCCTTCCATCTAATGAAGAGTATTTGATTCTACCATATCTGGAAATGATTTTGGAATTTTTAGTCAATTTTACCCTTTTTGGCCCCGCCCCTCAGGTCACTGGGGCTGGGGACCATATAATTCACAATTTTGGTTGACCTTTGGCCATGGAAGGTTTCTGCTAAATTTCATTGAAATTGGTTAAGGGGTTTTGGAGAAGAAGTTGAAAATGTAAATTGTTTACGGACACACAAAGACGGACAAAAGGCGATCGCAATAGGTCATCTAAGAAGTCTCAGGTGAACTAAAAATAGAAACGACCGCCATGACAGATCATGCATGATGTTATCTCAATTATCCTTTCTATATATGGCCTGCATGGCCAAATATAGAGCACTGGACCTTGGGAGTCGCCAATATTAAACAATGACGCACAAGGATTGAGCCACTGTAACCGGAGAGGACTGGGTTGAAGAGGCGAAAACATAGCTGGACACACTTTATTTCTACTTTCTACCTTTTAACTATCCAACCTCTTCCTACTGTTTAACGTTAGTGCAGGCAAATTCGCCATGCACCAAAATTCGCCACCCTGTGACGAAAATGCCATATGACGTCATAATACATAAGATGTGACTTACATAACGTCACCATAGTCTTCAACACAGTTAAAGCCTTCAAATATTTTGACAAGAAGAGGAATAAAAAGGGAAAAGTTATACTTTTAATCAAAACAGTTATGAAATATCTTGTAACACAACGAATCTTAAAAATTTGGTCTTTGCAACGGACATCTCCTCAACTAAACTCATTAATCTGAGGCCCGTTGGGAGTTATTTAGTTTAAATTCATTACACACACATTGACAAAACCCATATCTCACCGCTAATTGCAGTAAATGGTCGACTGAGCCGTCAATGCAAGTAAATTGTTTTTCTACTAGTGTACTTTGGTACATATATTGTACCGACGATCCAATGCTTGTTTATGGAAATGACGCTTGGAAAGATTTGATAATTCATTTTCCATTTTTATGCAATGCGTATTTAACGGAATACAATCAATCAGTATCTTTTTAAAAGCAATTCAACCATCTTACAACACTTCTATCAAAATACCATCTAGAAAAGAATTTGTTGTCAGCCTTGGGGTACTGCTGTACAATCGCATACTGATTGTACGTAGAGACCGACAGTTACCAAAGACTGATTTTTACATGAAAAGGTAAGTACATATACAACACCTGGCCGGGCAGTCTTTGTTCAATTGTTGAATAAGTTATTAAGCCCAAACGATTGTTATACTTTGTCAGATGTTTCCCGTTGACGTGCAAGACGATCGGTGATGTACATGCATGTGACAAACTATCCAAAAGTCGAGAGGGGGGGGGGGGGATTGTTGAAAGCCCTGGACCCTGCGTATAATGTAAATTGACATAATCTTAGCCGATACCAGCCCTACCATCTTTCTCAAACAGCATTAATCAGTATCTTCAAGTAACCGAAAATTAACTATTACAACTAAGAAAAGCTAGGTATTTTAATGTTAATCATTGTTACACACACACATTAATAATTTGGAGCTGTTCGTATCAGTATGACTTGTGTAACATAAACATACAAAAGTTTACATTAAACACTTAGCCGGATTACTTGTAAATTAGTTAAATGTTTAAAGGCGACAAATCTGCCTGCACCTTTGAGCAAAACCACGAAAGGCCTGATGACGTCACAAATGTTGCTGCATGACGTCATTCAGGCGTGTTTACAACAATGTTTATTTCTAGGCATTTCAGTCAAATCTTCTTCTGTATTGGTGTACGTGCTCGTCGGCATTTTGATACATGTGTTTTTGGATGAATAATTAACCGAAACCCTTACTAATGTGACGAATTTGCCTGCAATAACGTTATCCTTCCAATATGTCTTCTTGACCTTGCACCACCCGTTGCTTAACTAGTCAAGTGTGACTGCGTCGATGTAGACTTATTTCATATTAGACGATAGCTAAATGTCTAAAATATCCTCGTGTAGTGTCAAGCACCTCACATAGTAACGAGATACAGCTTGTTAAAATGGTTGTGCCGAAATATGTAACGCACGAAAACCTATGACTAGACGATACAGTCTCGATCATGGACGTATCCGTATAAGTTACGGTACCGTATGATATAAGCGTCTATCTGTCTATGGCCAACCTACAATAAATAATTTCTACTTGCCGTTCTTACCTGGACATAACTTGTTGATTTATCAGTGTCTTTGCCAATGATTGTTTGCAGTACGTGTTCCTAAATCTTAAGACGATGCAGCAAGTCATCTTTGCAGCTCTAAAACAGTCAAAATAAATTTGTGTATCTGAGCATAAAACGAAAGTAACCGGAAGTCGAATCTTTTAGTCAGGGGTAAAGCTTGTACGTCGTTCCCGGACCCGGACTGAAATCCCGATCCCAGGAATATAAAGATATTTTTTAAAATATCGCAACAACGGAATCGTTTATAACATTTAAAAGGTCTAAAGCTATACTGTACCAACTATAGTGTGATCACGGACTTAGATTAACTAATTCCGTGGTGTGATAATTAGAATACTTAGTACTTAGATATTTTGGATTTGGAAACGATATCAGAAATTGGGTCAAAATTTTACACTGTAATTCAAGCTCTGCTATAAACCAGGGGGGTAATTTATCAGCTTTTTTCAAAATAAATCGTGGATGTCGTCAAGGAGATCCCATCGCTCCATATATTTTTATACTATGTGCAGAAGTTTTAGCAATCCGCCTTAGAAACAATAAGAGTATAACTGGTATAAAGGTTAATAACTGTCCCATCTTAAACTCTCAGTATGCAGATGACACTTCTCTGGTATTAGATGGTTCTGAAAAATCACTGAAAGGGGCGGTTGATGAACTAAATATTTATGCAAAAATATCTGGTCTTAAAGTAAATGTAGGTAAAACTGAAGTTGTCTGGATAGGCAGTAAAAAATACAGCAATGATGTTCTCCTTCCAAATATGAATCTTAGATGGGGAGTTAATAAATTTACTCTTCTTGGGATAGATTTCCATGTAGATCTTTGCAAAATACCTAAAATGAACTTTGATAAAAAATTAGTTAAACTTAAAGCTCTTATTAAGAGCTGGAGTAGAAGGTTGCTCACACCTATTGGTAGAATTAATGTCATTAAATCTTTATTAATTTCTCAGATGAATCATCTGTTCATTTCCTTACCTAATCCATCTGAAAAATTTATAAAACAGCTCAATTCTGTTCTTTTCAATTTTTTATGGAATAGCAAAACTGATAAGATTAAACGGGACATAATAATCCAAAATTATCAAGAAGGTGGGCTAAAAATGGTTAATTTAATGTCTTTTATTGAAGCTCTGAAAATAAGTTGGATAAGAAGGTTTTTTAGATCAGAAGGTAAATGGGTAAGCATTTTAAAATCTTGTGTAAATCCTCATATCTTGGCTAACTCAGGAAACGAGTACCTTAATAAAGTTCAAGGAAATTGCAAAAATGTGTTTTGGAAAGATGTGTTTAGGGCATGGTATAAATTAAGAGCAAAAGAGGAGCTGTTTAAAAATGAGAATTTTGCCCTACTTAAGACACCCTTATGGTATAACAAAAATATTTCTGTTGGTAATAAAGTTGTTTTTTATAGTAAGTGGTTTAAAAACGGGATTATGATAATTAATGATTTGTTGAAAAACAACACAGACTACTCTTTCTTGTCTTTTAAGGAATTTTGTGATCTACATGGTACAATAACTAATTATCTAGAATATCATGGCTTGATAACAAGCATAAAGAATTATCTGAAACAACTTAATTTGCCAAACAAAAATGTGATATACCCAATTATACCGTTACATCTTGTAATAATTTTAAAGAAGAAAAAAGGTTCTCAAGACTTCTATAATATACTTATCAGAAATAATGCATCAATAACTGCTCAAACAAAATGGGGAACTATATTCGACTATAATCAGGAAACTTGGGGGAAAATATATGCTATTCCTTTCAGGGTTACAAAAAATACAAAATTGCAATGGTTGCAATTTAGAATTAATCATTATATTTTAACAACCAATTCTTATTTATGCAAAATTGGACTTGTAAATAACCCACACTGTGTTTTTTGTATCATAGAAAGGGAGACAATTACCCACGTTTTATGGGAATGCAGGGAAGTACAAAAATTTCTGAGCAATTTTGAAAGTCTTTTAAGTGCTCTCACTATTCCTTTCTCACTAAATAAAGAATCAATGATCTTTGGTTTTATCAACCAAACTGGAATTTATACCAGAATTGATAATGAAATTACTCTGTTCATTAAACAATATATATACAAAACCAGATGTTTTCATAAGTCACTTAATGTGACGGCTTTAGTCAATTCGATTAAAGATTACTATAAGGTTCAGAAATATATTGCTCGTGGTAAAGGGGAACAAGGCCTTAGAAGATTTACTTCTGAATGGGAAAAATGGTTAAAATTAGTAGAGCTTGACCTCAACTAACCCTGAATATTATGACTATTTATATTAAGTTATTAGTTGTTATTCTACTTAAAAAAAACAAAATATTGACAAATACTCACAGCAGTTATTTATTTTATTTAGTATCTTCTCAGATTTGGCAGTCTGATCTCTCTCTCTCTCTCTCTCTCTCTCTCTCTCTCTCTCTCTCTCTCTTTGTTTTGTCTATTCTATGTGTGAAAGTGTGTGAAAATTGAATGTGTCTTGGTGATTGTATAAAATCAGCATCAGATGATGAGGATGATGAGGAGGATGAGGTTGCTGATAATTTCAATAGTAGATATGTGTGAATGTGTGGATATGTGTTGATGTGATGTTCTGTATAATGTACATGTTCTGAAAATCTTTGAAAATAAAAAAATTATATTAAAAAAAAAAAAAATTAGAATGAATTTGTAAAAATCTCTAATAATTTAAAAATCAACGATAATGTATATTTCAAGAGGGTAAACACTTGTACGCCGCAGTCTATACAGTAGCGTATACGTAGCTACCTTAGGCTCGACGTAGGCACGTGCCTACCCATAATGCTGTCAAGTGTTTGTTTTAAAAGTACGAAAATCATGTTTTAGATTCTTTTCAGTCACATACATGTAATACAAATATCAAGCTTATATGAAACAATGGTAATAACACAACGATGAACAAGTTCGAAGTCCGGAAAATTCTAAATATCAAAACTTCTGAGTCCCAGTCAGATGATCCCCTCGCAGTGAAACTGTCTCGTCTTCCAAGGCTTCTTAAAGCAATACGTCATTCTTTAATTCTCATGTCCCACTCTCAAGTTCAAGTTCAAATTCAAGTAATTTTTTATTTAAAAGTCGGTACATGGTTAAACAAGGCAATACAAGCCTATGGAAGGCTTTTACAACCGACTATATAACAAATAAAAACGGAGGTAGCATTATATATAACATAACAAGCATGAAAATCTATTGTTAAAACACACATTGATAAGCATATAAAAGATAGGTAGTATGGTTCCAAAAGTGAAAAATTCAGGAGAATAACTTTTGGCACTTACATTCGGGTAAAAATGTTTGGCAAACAGTCAAAACACGGTGGCTACAGTGCCCCATCCTTGTTGATCATGATCAGGGATAGATGTGTACTACACATCCCTGTCATGATTAACTATAAATTCCTAGATAACTTAAAACGTTCTGGAAAACCACACTTACCGCACAATGCCTTTAACAAATTACATAATTATATATAGATAAATAAAAACATATAAAAATACCACATATAGATAAATACAAACATTATAAATAGCACATATAGATACATACAAACATATATAAATAGCACATATAGATAAATACAAACATATATAAATAGCACATATAGATACATACAAACATATATATATAGCACATATAGATAAATACAAACATATATAAATAGCACATATAGATAAATACAAACAAATATAAATAGCACATATAGGTAAATACAAACATATATAAATAGCACTTATAGGTAAATACAAACATATATAAATAGCACTTATAGATAAATACAAACATATATAAATAGCGCATATATATAAATACAAACATATATAAATAACACATATAGATAAATACAAACATATATAAATAACACATATAGATTAATACAAACATATATATATAGCACATATAGATACATACAAACATATAAATAGCACATATAGATACATACAAACATATATATATAGCACATATAGATAAATACAAACATATAAATAGCATATATAGATAAATACAAACATATATAAATAACACATATAGATAAATACAAACATATATAAATAACACATATAGATTAATACAAACATATATATATATAGCACATATAGATAAATACAAACATATATATATAGCACATATAGATAAATACAAACATATAAATAGCATNATACAAACATATATAAATAGCACATATAGATAAATACAAACATATATAAATGGCACATATAGATAAATACAAACATATATAAATAGCACACATAGAAAAATACAAACATATATAAATGGCGCATATAGATAAATACAAACATATATAAATAGCACATATAGATAAATACCAACATATATAAATAGCACATATAGGTAAATACAAACATATAAAAATAGCACATATAGATAAATACAAACATATATAAATAGCACATATAGGTAAATACAAACATATAAAAATAGCACATATAGATAAATACAAACATATATAAATAGCACATATATGTTTGTATTTATCTATATGTGCTACTTGTATATGTTTGTATTTATCTATGTTTGCTATTTATATATGTTGAATTTATCTATATTTGCTATTTATATATGTTTATATTTATCTATAAATAGCACTTATAGATAAATATAGACATATATAAATAGCACTTATAGATAAATATAGACATATATAAATAGCACTTATAGATAAATATAGACATATATAAATAGCACATATAGGTAAATACAAACATATAAAAATAGCACATATAGATACATACAAACATATATATATATAGCACATATAGATACATACAAACTTATATATATAGCACATATAGATACATACAAACATATATATATATAGCACATATAGATACATACAAACATATATAAATGGCGCATATAGATAAATACAAACATATATAAATAGCACATATAGATAAATTCAACATATATAAATAGCACTTATAGATAAATATAAACATATATAAATAGCACACATAGATAAATACAAACATATATAAGTAGCACATATAGATAAAACAAACATATATAAATAACACATATAGATAAATACAAACATATATAAATAGCACATATAGATAAATTGAAACATATTCAACAAATAGCACAG